TTAACCTGCTAAACAGTAATAACCCCACAACCCCCATCTTAAACATCCTAAGCAAACACTAATACCTCTAGCATCACTTAAAAGATGCAAGAGCAGCCCTGGCTGGTGTGGCTCATGGGACTGAGTGCTGGCCTGCAAACATAGGAAAGGCCCCAGTTCAATTCCCAGTCAGGGCACATGCCTGGGTTGCAGGCCAAGTCTCCAGTTAGGGGCACACAAGAGGCAACTGATTGATGTATCTCTCACACATTGATGTTTCTCTCCCTCTTTCTCCCTCCCTTCCCCTCTCTCTAAAAATAAATAAATAAAAGCTTAAAAAAAAAGATGCAAGAGCAGAACAGAGACAGCATCTCCTTATCGATAAAGCACTCTTCACACAGGAGCCAATGAAATAAGCATCATTATTCCCACTTTACAGAGGAGACCCAGAAAGGCCAACTTGATTGATGTTGTGAGGCAAGTTAAGAGACAGCGCTGTGGCTAGCACCTGCCGTCTGTCTCCTAACACATGTTCTCTTCCCCTCTAGGCTGCCTCAGAAGAACTGTCATGGCAAAAGATTTTTAACCTTAAAACAGGTTTATGCCATCCAATGGGGCAGGAATGTGTTGGGAAACAGAACAGAGAATAGAAGAGAATTAGGAATCTTTGCCCTAATAGTTCCAAGAATTCTTTTTTAACCTGATAATTTCATTACAGACAGTAGGGAACTATTTCTCTACCTCAGCAATCACCTCCTTATGAGAAAATATACTCATTATGCCAAATTCTACCACACCAGAATAATTTTCAGATTTCATGGAGTGTATCATAATGGAAGAGTAATTTCTGGGGCCAACCAGAAAGCCCTAAAGATTGTTTCATACATCTTTACTCCCACTCATTTCTAAAAGGTTCTATGTATGTGTATAAAGAGACAAGAGAAGGGGGAAACTGTAGGAAAGACTAGAGCAATAAAACGGTCCAGCTTCCAAGAAACTGAATGAAAGGGCTGAAGGACTACCAAGTGAAGGAGGAAATTCCTTGGAGAGAACCCCAGATGAGGTGTCCGAAGAGCATGGCAAGGTCTTGCTCATGATAAGCCCACTGGGCGTATTTCACCCCTGCTTTATTTTTGTCTTCCTGCTGTCCCCCCTTCAGAGACTCAGTGTTTGAATCACAAATCTTTGTGACAACTCCAATGAACTCTATAAATCTTACTCTCCCAAAACTGAACATATCCACAAAACTGTGTCCAGCTGCAGGGCATTTTAAGCCTCTTGAGTCTCCCCTTGGGGGCTGATGACCTGTAGTAACGTTAGAACCCCTATATTAGAGCCATAGTTCCTACACACTCCAGCACCAATTAACAACAAACTCCCTCATTAAGCACAAGACTCTCTCCACAGTCTTCTCTGGGAAGGAAAGAGCAGGTATGTTTTGTTTTGATTTTTGTCTCAAGAGTTAATAAGAAAAGGGATGAAATACACAGGGAAGGGATTGCCATGGATGAGGCCAAATTAAGGCTGTACGACCTCCAGGAGGGATCAAAGATATGAGAACTGAGAGGCAAACTAGCTGACCTCACGGTTCCTTCTAACCTATGAGAATGAATTTGGAATGTTCTACACAATGACAGAAACTCACCTTGGGGAAAGTCCACCCCCCTAAGAAGTGACTGCTCTAAGGTCAAGGACACCACCCCCTAGGAGAGAACCCAACTTGTAATACAATCAATTTCTGCCATTCCACATGGCAATTGTAACCAACGTCTGCAGCCCAAGACACCCAGATGGCAGCAGATATGGAAAGGGAGGCTGCGGCAAGGGAAAAGTAGTCCTGGGAGTTAGAGGTGTAAGCCTGGAGACAGAAAGACCACATGTATCAGTCCTGCACGGCTCTAGACCTGTGAATGTTCTCAACACATTCAGCCTATAGCCCTTCCTATGTTGTACTTGAAGAACCTCAACTTTCAAAATCTGAAGGCATGTTTAAGTGGGAATTTCTAACCACTCCTCTTATCTGCTACGATCTGAAGATGAAAATTTCACCACCTCATCCTAAAGCCTAAGGAGTGAATACTGGACATGCTGGGCTGAGCTAGGACCACCAGTGGGGAGGAATAGGCAGGTTCCAGGTGGAGCAGTGACATCAATAGATGGTCAGGGAAGTGTGACTGCTTGGTCCTCAGGATCTGAGGAAAGCTGCCTCTGTGCTGAGGCAGCACAGAGCAGGTGCACAGGAAACCAGAACAGCACAGGAGAGGCAGAGCAGGAACCACTAGTGGATATAAGAAATGGACTAGACACAAAACAGAATACAGTGTTTTCCCAAATCCCAGTATTTGCCTTCTGCCTCCACAGATTTTGCCATTTCCAGGTATTACCTGTACTACAACTTCAAAGTTCTCTTTAAGTGGACTCTTTTTCAAAAACCCTCATCCTAAGGAATAAAGAACTTGTTATATTTTTCTTTAATATACATTAGAATAAGACAGAAGCACTAATGTAACAAAATTTTTCACACTCCATTCAAAATCACCTGGCACCACACAGAGGCCCAGGTGCCAGACCTGCACATGTGCTGGCAGCCAGGGGCCCTGGCCGTGAAGTCCGCTCCTGATTCCAGCCTCATTCCCAGGCACGACCTCGACCCCGCCGAGAGCCACCGCTGCCCTTTCTTACAGCGAGGGGGAGATGGATGGGCCTGCAGCTTCCCTGTCTCACTCTGACAGTCAAGGAGGGCAGATTTCTATGTGGCTCTGGCAAAGGTACCCACAGCAAGGTGGCTTGTTTTCAGGGTCCCAGAAATTTCCCAGTTTCTGCTCTTTTGGGGTTAGCTACAGATAGGGAAAGAAGTAACACAGCTGGAAGCAAAGGAAGTCGGGTGGAAGACAGCCTAGTGTAGAAGCACATGAGATCTGAATCTAAAACATATGGCACCTCCATTTAGCAACCCAGTTTAAGTTTTTTTCATTTTTAAAACGAGGATAATCATGCCATTTTTTTTCTTAAATTTATACATTTGCTCCTCAACTTTCATTCAGTCTGAACTTACAAAAATGTATACTCTGAGAATCCTAGAATGCTCTTGAGAGCCCTGCTCAGACTTGCACACAAAAGTTGGATGACATTTGGGCCCTTCTCACCAATTTCTAGTTCTGTTCTGGCAATTTTGCAAGTGGAGGCGTATTTGTTAAAACGTATTGCATTGCCTGACTTCTTTAGTGATAAACTTTCTTTAATTGACACAAAGGACAGACATGGACAAAAGCACCTAAAGCAGCAGTTCTTAAGTCTTGACTGAGTGTTCACTGGACTTAGAGCTGGTCAAACGTATACTCAAATAACGGAAAAGGCAAAGTATAGTGTGGGAGTCTATATTATTTTTTAGGTTTTAGGGAACAGAATCCCTCCTTATAATTCATAAGTCTAGAATCAAATTTACCACATTCAATTTCCATATATTATCAGGAACACATTATGTTCAAAATGCTGTCTCATCTCATAAGACTGAAAGCAGCATACAGAAAAATACAAACAGATAAATCTGGGTAACAGCCAATATAAATCAGAAGGCCAAAAACAAGACCTGTGCATTTTATTGTATGCTAATGATATCTAAAACATACCTCATTATCAATACAGCATGAACAAGAAAACAAGGGGAAAGTGAGAACAAAAACTGCAGATGACAGGCCCTGCAGTTATAAAGTTGAACTGAGCTTCCTTCCAGCCAAAGCTAAAAGGGAAACATGACCAGTGTCTGATTCTTGTTGTAGGGCCCTTACGTCTGAAAACAATTTCTCTTTAGGTGCCTTCAGCGAGGGACAGCATCGTTGAGGACAGCACAGCAGCATGTACAGTAACACGTTTCCTGAGACCACCCCCGACCGTGCATCTCAGTGTTGGCCTGACTAAACACTCCGCAGCAGGAGTGGGCTGGGCAGGCAATGTGAGTCAAACGCGCAGCTTGGAGGCTCAAATGAGACAAGGAGAAAGAACTCAGGAAACCATGAGCACAGTGCCAGTACCAGGTTAACTGTTCCAACACCAAGCTCTGGGTTCATGAGAACCGGAGAGGCCTAGATGCTGAGACTTAGCCAGGGGTTCGGACCCAACTTCCTGGCACGACTATTCCAGCTAAACCGAAAGGGGCTCTGGCATCAGCCCTGTCCCAATCCAGTTCATAAACAGAGGGCCAAGTTACAGGGGGTGCTAACTGCAAAATAACAGCCAAGAGCACCCCTAGGCATATCCACTGAGCTCCATGTGATGGAGGCCACTAACTGGACCGTGCATCCATTTTCCCCTTCATCCTTTAGTCACAGAAGCCCCTAGGTTCTGACTGGGCACGTGACTACCCAAACAAGAAACTCTACGTCCCAGTGTCCCTTTCCACATAGTGGCCATAGTTGCATAGTTTGCGCAACTCCAGGTCATATCCTTTAAAAAAGAAACTACTTTGTTCTCTCTTTCCCCAGTGGAATGTGGGCATGGAGCTGATGAGTCTGCTTTGACCTTGGGACAAGGACAACAACCTAGGGGTGGCTGAACAACAAGATAAAGAGAAACTGAGTTCCTGATGACCCTGTACAATTAAATCTGCCCTGGACCATCTGACTACCTCTGTACTATTATTAGAAGAGAGAAAATGAAATTTCTACTAGGTTCTCTTTGTTATAGCGGCTTAGCCTGTGGCTTAACATAATTCACAACAACTCAAAGGAGTCAGAGAGACACAGACTTCAAAGGACTCAGGCAACAACCTAGGAAAGTCAACTCACAATCCACTTCCACGCTCAGGTCAGAAGACGACATCCATAAGACAAGTTGGCCTCCTACTCCTTCTCCAGGAGAGGGGTAGCCACATCCTTTGAGCAGTGGGGAAAAGGCCTTTATTACAGCACAGCACAGCCCAGACACGAAATGCAGCCTGTCCACCATGGCCTAGGCCGAATCCACAACAGCTGGAAACAGACTACTTTCCCCACCAACACTAGGCAGGGACACCCCTGTCCTACCTTTTCCCCTATAGCAGGAAAGCTCCAAACTTCTCCATTCTTCATAGTTACCATTCTTGAGGACAGGCCAAGTCCAGGAAGGCGTGGGGTGAAATCAGGGGGTCTGTGTGTGGGGGTCAGGGGCAAACAGTCCAGAGCCCCAGAACAAAAGCCACAGTGGGAAATGGAGGGGGAGAGAAGCCTCCACGTCTGCCCTGGGTTTCTGGGACTCAGGAGCCTGAGGGTGCAGCACCTGCTCCTCCTCAGGAGTCCTCCGGTGACAGAGCGCACTAACGAATCCCAGCCACCGGCACCTGCTGCTGCTTGCGAATCTTGTTGAAGAGTTCCATGTACTGGACCATGGTATCTGCTGGGCCGTAGACCGTGTCATGTCTGTTGCCAAACACTGTGGGAGCCCCTGGAGTGTGGCTGCCTAGAAAACTCTGCAGGAACTCGAGCAGCAGGTTCCAACAGTCGCTGGCTACCACACAGGGGCCATACTCCACCTGGGGACCAAAGGAACAAAGAATGAGGGTGAATGTAGGCAAGGATGAGGGCTTCTGCTTCCTCTGCACCTCTTGCCCCTGCTCCCATCTTGCCCAACCCCAGACCAAAGACTCATACCTTCCAGCACAGTGCTGCTGCACGAGAAACACTCAACCCAAACACCAGGGATCTGACACACCACCACCATTCCTTTTAGACTGTCTCTGACATTCTCATCTTGGTGTTATCAACCCTCAGCCCTGCCCACAGACACAAAGGTGAATCTGGGCCCCCTTGGATTTTCTCAGAACTGTATAATCCCTACTATGCTGACAGATTCAAGAAGAGCTCAGGAAAATGTTAAGAAAACAAAGAGCGGGAGAAAGCATGTGTGTGCATGTTGGGGATCAGTAGAGCGCAAAGCAGACAAGCATGCTCATAAGTCTTGTCAAGGCCAAACACTATTCCCCAGGTAAACCCAGCCGGCTCCAACCCTGAAAAATAATTTCCTGACTAATGTAACAGGGGCCAGAGGATATACCTTCAGCTTTTTCATTCCTCTCTCTTAATTTGTCACTGCAGAGAGAGCAGGGGGAAATCACTAGGAACCAGGAGAAGAAACAGTAAAGAAACAGCTGGGGTTGCTGGACTACAAAGCTGGAAATGTGGAGGGTAAACAGTGGGTCCCCAGTGGGTCTCAGCCAGTGCAAGGTGTGCCGAGTGCTAAAGAGAGTCAGGAAATTTCAGCCCTTGAGGACCTGGAGTTGCAGAGCAGTAATTACCACTAACACCCTTTTTTCCACCAGAGGTGCTTTTTAGGGATGCTCAGCTCTCCCCACATCTCTGCACTTGAAGTCCCTCCTTCCTGCTAATCCTGGAGGAGGCGTCACAATCCCCCAAGTCAGCAGTGCTCTCACTGGCCTGGATTCCTGGAGCAGTCTGTACCTCTTTCACGGTATTTATTATAGAGTCACTTCAAAAACAGTTTGTGCCCTGGCTGGTGCATCTCTGTGGACTGAGTGCTGGCCTGTGAACCAAAGGGTCGCTGGTTCAATTCCCAGTCAGGGCACATGCCTGAGTTGCGGGCCAGGTTCAATGGTAGGGGCCGAGCGAGAGGCAACCACACACTGATGTTTCTCTCCCTCTTTCTCCCTTCCTTCCCTTCTGTCTAAAATAACTAAATAAAATCTTTAAAAACAAAAGCAAAAAGCCAGTTTGTGTTTCAGTCTTGCTCTCTTACTAAATCACAAATTTGCAAAAGGCAGGCCCCATAGCTTACTTTTTTTTTTAATCTCACACAGTGCTGGCCACATGGTCAATTGTAGACTCTCACTGGTCCCAAAGCTAGCTACAGTCACACTCTCTGGCATTTTCAGTGTCTACGAAAATCTAAAGTCCCAACACACCCCCTCAAAAACAGTCATCACACACACCCCTTCCCATCGTGAAAGAATATGGACAGCCCAGCAAGGAAAAAGGTACATCTTTGCTATACAACTTTTGAGACCCATCTTAAAGCATACTAAGAGAGGCGTACAGACCTACCTCCCAAAAGTTAACTACACCAAAAGTTGTCCTGGTCTGCTCCAATCCTTCCTGTGGAAGTGACCAGTCCCTCCACATCATAACTCACCTGCCTCCTTTGAGTATCCCTTCCCTTCTCCAGCAAGCCAGCCTTCTTATTCTACCAGCTGTGAACCCAACTTCCAATGCCCATCCTGGGCTAGAGAGTCCCAACCTTTCCCAAAGAAAGGTTAAAAGGTGCAGGGAGAGAGGGCAGAGATGCTGTACGCTGCAGACAGGGACCAGGCAGGCACGGACACCTGTGTGCACACAGAGGGCCGTGGAAATCTGCAGAGCCCTTTGCTGAGCAGCCCCTTCTGCACATGGTGCTCCTGTATTTCACCAAGGTCTTACCTCCACAGAGATGCCTCGGGCACTGGGCCCCATGGTGACCGTGCCCACCTTCACTAGGAAGTCACAGTACTGGTAACGGGTACCCCGGGTCTCAATCTTGCTGGCCTTGGCACTCTGGAAGAAGCCCTTGAGCTTCACCATGAGCACATCGAAGTTGGTGTCGGCAATAAGACAAGGGCCATTCTCAAAGAGGGCGAAGCAGCTCAAAGGGTACTCTGAATTGTGCATCACATACATCAGCTTCCCGGTCTGACCTGCAGGGACAGAGATCCTACTTAGCATCAAGACCTCCGCCAGCAAAGCCTGGAATAGAGGCAAATGTGGAGAACAAGGCCAGATGGCAATCAGGCATTACCTCAGCAGTCCTGGGGCAGAGGTAGGTCTTTATCTCCAGAAAAGACCCCTTACCAACAGCCTTTTCTGGAGAAAACAGGTGAGATAGCATGTGGTAACACCCACCTGCTCTACAGAAAAAGGTGAGAGACACACAGGGACCTTCATTAGCATTGGTAACAGATGAATTCTTTATTTTTGTTTTTTAAAATTTTATTTTTTATTTTTTAGAGAGAGGGGAAGAGGGGGAGAAAAAGAGGAAGAGAAACATCAATGTGTGGTTGCCTCTCGCTGGCTCCCTACTAGAGACTTGACCCACAACCCAGGCATGTGCCCTGACTGGGAATTAAACCTGCAGCCCTTTGGTTCACAGGCCAGCACTCAATCCACTGAGCCACACCAGCCAGGGAAACAGCTGAATTCTTAAGTTGAGTGATGGGCCCACAGATGGATGTTTAATGATGATGATTAGTAACTCACAGGGACCTTACATATAGTTTTTTATACATATAGTTTTTTATATAATCATACATTACATAATAAGGAAAATCAAATAAAAATATCAGCATTTCAGTATGTCAAATGAAGCAGACACTCTTTTCTGTCTACTCCTACCTTCCCTGGCCTCCCCCTCTCTGAAATATAAGAAGTGGCTCCAGAGATAGAGCAAAGGGGAGTGTCTGAGCATGAGGCTGGGAAGGTAGGCCAGAGCTGAGCTGTGTTGCCTTGTCTTGCATGCCTAAGAAACCTAGACTTCATTCTAAAGGCAACAGTGAAGCCTTGGGCAATTCTAAGACATCAGTTGACTTAGGAAGCTAGCACTGCACCAGAGCAGAAAGAACTCAGCCTCTGGAATCAACAGATCTAGTTTCCAGTCCCAGCTGACCCCTTCCAGTCTCTAAGAAATGACTCTTCTCATTGATTACTACAGATTTTCTGCAAGAAAAAAGGGAAGTTATATAAATGTATTTGGTAAAGTGGGAAATGGAAGAAGGCAGACAATGGAAAGCAAGATTCCTCTCTCATACATTACAAGAGTTCATGGACTGGACGGACCACCACAATCGCAAATATTTACTAGGTGCTTAAACTATTCTCAACACTGTCCTAGGGCTTAAGAAGCATATGAGAAGAGAACTTAGTCCCTGGCCTCAAGAAGCTGACAATCTCACTAGAGATAGGTGAAAAGCTTTAAAAAAGACAATAAACAAAATTGCTTACCTAGGACAGGCCAGAAGTCTCTTTTGGAAGGAAGGAATGATTTCAGGGTAGAAAGAGATTAAAATAGGCAATAAGCAGCAGGAAAAACTTCCATTGAAAAAAAGAGCACCTGAACTAGGACATAAAGAGAGGGTAGGATTCAGCCACACAGAGAAGGAAAGAAGACACTGTAGGCAGTGATGAGAGTGGAGCAATGGGAAAGAGAGAAGGGGGTTGGGGAGCAGGGGGCACTGTGACCTCTGTGCACACCTCCACTCTGCTGCCTCTTGCTGAACACAACGGGCTCTGCACAAACCACCCCCCACATCTCTCCTGACTGTGCTGCCAGTTCACACCTTTCACCTCCCAATAAATCCACTTCAGACACTTCAACCCTCAGAAAGCCATCCAAGCTGATCTACATTCTGTTCTTGTGCAAACTCCCTGTAATTACATACTCAGTTCATATGAGTCTACAGGTATTCTTACTGTCTTGAAAATATTTTAAAAGTCAACTAAGACTTTCATCTTTCATAATGAAAAAGGTACTCCCAGTTTTATATAGACAATACTAGTATTTAAATCACAAAAGTACCTTCTTTTTAAAAAGATTTTATTTATTTTATTATTAATTAATTAATTAATTTATTTATTTTTGGAGAGAGGGGAAGGGTGGGAGAAAGAGAGGGAGAGAAAGGTCAATGTGTGGTTGCCTCTTGTGCACCCCCTACTGGGGACCTGGCCTGCAACCCAGACATGGGCCCTGACTGAGAACAGAACCAGTGACCCTGTGGTTCACAGGCTGGCACTCAATCCAATGAACCAAACCAGCCAGGGCCAAAAGTACCTTCTTATCTGCACAAATGTGTGAAATGGAACCAGTGTTACTGTCCCACTTTTATAGATGAGGAAAATGAAGCTTATAGGTCCCAGACCAGCAGCAGTAGCCCCAGGTGGGAACTTTTTAGAAATGCAAATTATCCACCCCAACCAAGATCTACTGAGTCAGAATGTCTGGGAGAGGGGCCCAGTAACCCTTGTTAACGAGCCCTCCAGGTAAGGCTAATACTGGGCAGTGTGGGAACCAAGGATCTAAAGGCACAGAACCAGCAAGCAGCAGAGCTGGAGCTGCAGGCCTTCTGACCTGAAGTTTATCGCTTCTTCCATTCTACTCCACTGCCTGTTGAGAATGTGCTGTCTCTCCAAATGGACTGTAGC